AGTTAAAAAATCTAGCCAGTTTCCTTCCTAATAAAAATCCAAACATGTTTATAAATTAGAAATTTTTTTTTTTAAAAAAAACTAAATATATTTTCCAGCTACTTTGTATCTGATAGTATTACCAAACAGGTAGTCCTCGACCTACAACAGTTCATTTAGTGACCGTTTGAAGTTACAACAGCACTGAAAAAAGTGACATTTTAATGATCATTTTTCACACTTATGATTGTTGCATCATGTCACATAACCAAAATTCAGACACTTAGCAAGTGTCTGACTCATATTTATAACAGTTGCAGTGTCCCAGAGTCATGTAATCAATCACATTTTGCGGCATTCTGACAAGCACAATCAGTGAGGAAGTCAGATTCACTTAACAACCATGGCAAGAAAGATGGTAAAATGAGGCAAAATTCACTTAACAATTATGTCACTTAGCAACAGAAATTTTTGGCTCAATTATGGTCATACCTGTATATGTAAGAAAAACAAAACAAGGCCTATAATGTAATGTTACATAAAAAAGGAACGAAACAAAGCTCAAAAATACTTAGCAGATTTCTACAAAAGCAAACAACCAACTACTACTAAGCAGGCAAAAACTGTACTACCCCAACTACTACCAAGCAGAGAAAAAACTGTAAAACCAAAACATACAGTATTTGTTCATACTTCATATAAAATAAAATAATTATATAATCATAGAATAGAATCATAAATGTTGAAACCTTTGCTAATATTTGATTGAACACAGATTTGAGTCTGAATGACTACAATAAGATTGACTCAAGGTTGACTCAGCCTTCCAAGGTGGGTAAAATGAGGACCCAGATTGTTGGGGGCAATATCCTGACTCTGAAAACTGCTTAGAGAGGGCTGTAAAAGCACTATGAAGCGGTATATAAGTCTAAATGCTACTGCCATTGCTATAATGTTAAATAATTTAAATTATCTCAATTTTATATAACTAATATTCAATCAATTAACTGAATACAAACAGTATTTTTCTAACAACATAGAAAAATGCATTTAAAAAGAAAAAAACAGAACACTGGAAGACTATAATTTTAAAGGAAAAAAAGTGCCAGAGAAAAAGAGCTTGTAAAATCATGATGTGGATACATTCAAATTAAAATTCTCAAAGAACTATGAGTTCAATATGTTTGAGAGAAAGTTACCCAGTGCTAAGGGTTGGTTCTTTTTGGCCAGGACTGTAAAATCATAACCTGAATTCTCTTCTTGTAACAGTGGCTGGCTTGCAGCTGTTCTCTCATCCACCCACACACAGAGTAATTCCATTTTTTTTCACATCTAAGAACTGTTTTACCCAACGTCATCCAGGCAAAAGGTGATATGTTACTCTCCCAAAAAGGAAAGCACATCTGTAACTGTCTGTACACAAACAACTGACACCCACAAGCACACTGCTGACTGACAACAGACAATTTAAAGCTTAATAAAGCTCTCTAGAATCTAAGACAACAGGTGCATTTAAACAAGGAACAATATCCTCTTTCTAAGCCAAGTTCTCCTTCATAAAGTCAATGGTGCAATCACTCTCATAACATGGGTTCCTGTGTCATACTGAGAATTTTTTAAAAACATGATTAACTAAAGAAAGCACATCTGGCTGAGCTCATACAATTCACAAAACTGTAAGCATTGGCCACAAGCAAATTGAATAGCTCAAACTGAACACCTTATGGCTTCAGGTAAAACTTCTCAGCATTACATCAAACCTGCACTAATGCCAAACAAGAGGTAAGTGAGTGATATGAGCAAGGGAGAATGATCTAATTGGAGGAGTGGTTAACTATCATCCAGCCATCAACTCTCCCTCCAAGAGAACCTTCAGCTAAATAGCAATACCAGGAACAAACTCTTCTGAGTAGGAAGAGAAAAGCAAAGGAGTGTGGGAGGAAAACTCAGATCCTCCCATCTGTTGATTTTTCTCTGCAGATAAACCTCTTCTCTGCCTTCTCAAATACTGTAATCAGAAAAGAGGCAGGTTAGGAAATGGGTTGAAAGGATAGAAAACATGACTGAGGAAAAAATTACCTGCTTCAGACAGTACGAGAAATCATTAAGACCTCCCTTAATCAGACAGATAATTGAGGAGACACAGTTAATTTGGAGCGGGTGAGGTAGGCCCCTGCAACCATATCTTAATTGGCTGTTATCTTAAAGCAGGGGTCTCCAACCTTGGCCACTTTAAGACTTGTGGACTTCAACTCCCAGAGTTCCTCAGCCAGCCAATTCTGGGAGTTGAAGTCCACAAGTCTTAAAGTGGCCAAGGTTGGAGACCCCTGTCTTAGAGTTTTGAGGAGCAATTTGATTTTGCATATATTTGTGTATGATATGAACAGAGTTAAATTTAGTTTATAGAAATTGTATCACACAATCAGTGTTTCTCCATCATATAATGGTAGAATATTATGTCACCAATTTTCACAAACTGTGTCTATGGAATTCATTACTCATAACTTGTCAATGAATTACTTGAAAAGAACTGTAGCATATTCAAAAATGCTGCAGTAAATGGCAGGGAATACTAAAATTGAGATGTTATTATATAATCCCAGTTGTGCTTGTGTTTCCCAAGGTTTTACAAGGTCTAGTATTGATAGACAGAATGCAGATGAATTCTGTAAATGAATCATTTGTTTGATAGGTATGCTAATCCTTATCGAAAATAAACTTAAGTGGATAAGTGGAGAGGGAAAACTATCTAGTGGAGTTTGACATGGATCCTGTTTTATCTGAGTACCTTGCAGGAACTAAAGAATAAAAGAATAAAGAATAAAATGCTATTGAAAAAAAATTGGATGATACCATGCTGAAAAGTATAGGAGAAAGGTAAAAGGTGCAATTATACAGGAGGAAATAAAATACTTTAGATTATATGCAGTAAAAATCCAAAACTCCATCAAATATTTGTAAACATGGAAAATCAAACAGTATTCATTATACTTATCTTTGTAGAAAGGAGGTGGAAAGTGGGAACCACAAAAAGTAATGAAGTACAAAACAGGCAAACTAAAACGTCAGAATATATCAGACATCACATCTCTAGCAGAAACTAGGAAAGAAATATTACTATAAAAATTACTGCTAAAGTGAAATAGGAAGCTACTTTACATCCATCCAGTCTAATTCAGGAATATCAGTCCTACCTATCCCACTAATCATTCCAGATCAGGAGACTACAAATGGCGATTACAAGATAGCCAAAAAGTCCTTGAGCATTGTAAAATTGATAAAACCATGTGAAATGTGAAATTGTTTGCCCACAATCTCAATAATTTGAGACATCCAGGCCATCTTATAAAAGGACCCAAACTTTGCTAACCTCTGTCCAGAAAGAATTATCCAGTTCTGCCTGGAGATGATGATAAATTCTTCAATAAAAACAGATATACTACTATTCATCTGGACTCTCATGGCCAATTCTGGTAATCTAAATTCTACAATTATTTATCCCAAGCAAAATTAAGAATGCAAATACGGAATAATGAAATTCATGAAAGGAGTCACTATTCAATGGTGGGCATTTTCTGACTCATAGAAGAAAGAAAGAGAAAGCCATCTACATATTATTATGTTTCAGTATAGATACATAAACATTCTTCAATGTAGCATCTTCAGATATATTACACTACAATTTTGGTAATTCCTTTTGGCTATGTTAGCTATAAATTTTTGGAATTATAACCCAAAACGTCTGGAGGGCAAGTTGGAGAATACATACTGATCTGTATTGGGCAGTTTGATCTCTTAGAACAAATATGGAAGTATTTTTAGATTCTCAAATCCATTATATTATTAATGTGGTTCCTTAACTATGACTCTTCAAGTATTTTAGGCAATACTGGTAACTGTAATATACTGTCCGTTATTAGATCCATATGCCTTAATACAGTCTAGAGATAAGGACATTAAACACTGAAAGAAAAATATGTTGTCAAACTCTACCCCTTTCCCCTACAATTATTAGATTCACAAATATGAGTTTGGTTTGTTTAGCTATGGTTTACTGAATAAATCCCAATGGTTACTTCATATATTGTTCTAAGCTACAAGCCACCCAGCCAGTCCTGATCAGATCAAGACCCATAGTTTCAGCAAAGTTCCTAGGTTCAAATAGTTCTTGAGAAGTGACCATTAATTCATAGAAAAAATAGATTGATTTCAGATGTTTGTCAAGATTCATGTTCACTGCCAGTTATTTCTACAGTATGTGAGGGACTTGCCTTAAAGCATCAATGTCTAAGTCTTCTAATTTGGAGATTCTGACCTACTATGCTATCCCTGTAACAGTTAATTTGGGACATTTTTGCCAGTCATATTCTTCTCACCAGCTCTGTGCTGTAGACCTCCATGGTGCAGCCTATCCTTGGAATCACCCATTAGTTTCAATTTATCCCACAATCTATAACTTAAAAATTAACCTTTGCCTTCGGTGTGCACATTAAGATGTTTCTTGATTAGATCTTTTAAGTAGCCGTCTTCAGATTATAAACAGTTTCTTAACATTTTCCTGCCAAAAAAAAGGGGGGGGAGGGCCCAGCAAGAAAGTTTTGTGTGTTTGGGTCTCACTTCCACTTATAGCCCCTCCATATTCTGCTAATAGATGGGATGCCAACTGTTTCATGAATCTGTAGATTCAAAGTTCCTCCAACTTTGTTCTCTGAGCTTCTTTAGGTCAAGCGGGAGCATTTACAAACACTCAATTAACTGAGACAAAATCAAGGGAGGCAGTTCAACAAGAGGCTCTCACTTCTAATTCACATCTAAGGAAATGATAGACTAGAATAGAAAGGTGAGACCACAACTGCTCAAGCCCCAGCCAAGTAACAAGATTCATCTTAACTTCTTCTAGAAGCAAGAGGCAGTGGATTAATTGGAATATGAGTGGATATCCTGCAGCTTAGAAGGCCAATATTACAAGCAGAAGGATCCATTTGCAGCTTCTATCGATCAATATATGCATGACAGCTCACCAGAGAAAGGAAGAAGAGCTAGCAATTCTGGCGGTTCCTTGGAGAACCCATCTAACAAACTTTGGAGAGCCCCTACTTCAAGTGTGCGAGGTAGATGAGCTTGTCCCATGAGGTGATGGTTTGAAATAACAGCAGTTTGGAAACCTACAATGAAAGAGGTGGGAGGCAGAGCATATGATGTATATCGTGCAAAATACTTCATTATGAAAAACAAAATGCTTATAAATTGCTTAGTTCCAATCATCTGAAAATAGAACTTGGGGAGGAAGGAAGAAACCGTGCATCCCACCATCAATTTTTGGCAACCAGAAAAAAATTGATTTCCCATTCATTCATTCATTCATTCATTCATCCTTAAGTACATTGGAAAGGGTGGGCCTCTCCCCCATCACCCCTACATTGTAGGTAATCATCACCAATCCTGGGAAAGGAGGACCAGGAGGCTTCACTGCTTTTAACACATTGTTAAATAACAAACCCAAGTGGGAGGCAAATGCCTGGAGAGGGGGGGGGGAATCACAGGTAGAGAGGTTGCCCAAGCCCGCAAAGCCAAAACTGTGACTGGGTTTGTTGGTAAAGGCAAATCCGAAATCGAAGATCGTGGAAAGGCTCTTTAAACCCAGAGGCTTCTTGGGCAGCGGAGCCAGGCACAGGCAGTACCCACTGCAGAAGGCAAAGGGGCTGCCAGATGAAAACCGGCTGAGCGAACGCTCTGGAAAGCGCAGAGCTTTAGGGGATCCCAGAAGGGGGGCAGCAGATCTCTTCTGAAACTAGCTTGCAAACGTCGATGCTAGGCGAAACAATCGCGGGAAGGAAGCTGGGAGAGAGGGGTGGAGGGGAAACCTCGGAGATCGGATCGGTGATCCCCAAACTTACCCTGCCGGGTAGGAGCGCAAAGCTCCGGGTTTCACTGCACGATCCCAGGCATCGTGGTGCTCCGAGCGAGGGGCAGTACCGTAGGAGACTGACGCCGAGTAGCTCTTCCCAGCGCCGCAGATGGAGTGGCGTGGGCTGGGGCTCTGGCTCCTCCTCCACGATCGGTTCCGACCTCCTCCGCCGGCGCCGATCTCAGGAAAAGGAGGCGAAGCTCCAAGCAGCGCTTAACGAGCGCCAATCTCTCTCTCTCTCTCTCGGTTGCGCGTACCCGAGCGCGAGCGCGGCCAGGAGTCTCCTTTTCTCCGGCGGCCCGATCGACGGCAGGTTCCACCCAATCAGAACGACTCAGCCTTAAGGCAACCCCCCCCCCAAAAAAAACAAAAACCAGAGAGCGAGCGAGCGAGAGCGAGAGACCTTGCAGCCTATCGGAGGCTATTCCGGGCGGGATGCGGCTCTCAGGCCGTGGGAGTCTTGCCGAGGTTGTCTCTGTTACGCGCCTGATTCTTGGGGACTGTAGCTGGTTTTGTGGGGGCGGGGGAGAGAGCTTGTGCGGAGGAAGATCGTGGGGCCCAAGGGATAGAGAACCTTAAAAATATATCATAGTATAATCATTGATGATTGGTTTGGTAATAGATCTTGTAGTAATTGCGATGCGTTTATAGGTGGTTGCCAGTGGTTGGTTCTGTTTAGAGATGCAGAACGGAAGCAAATACCTAAGTAAAAGACGGCAGGAAAGCTACGCAGTCTTCCCCTAAATGGTCTTATTTAACAACAAATATCCCGCCAGGCATCCATCCATTATTAAAGATGGGGATGATGAGAGCTGCATTAAAGTTGCAATAACAGATGTGTGTAAGGAAGATGGTTGTGTGTGTAGACCTCTCTAGGCTAAACTCTTTTTAACAGCCTTAATGGCCTGGCCAAAGTGAAGGATCATGCTTTCCGACAATCTCTGCAGGGCTACCCATCTGCCACCCTCATCTAAAGCCAGTATTTGGTTTTGCATGTAGTCAATCATTCGCCCAGAGCAATGTTTCTCAACCTTGGGAACTTAAAAGAGCCTTGGTAGTACAGGGGTTTAAGGCACCCTGTTATTAAGCTGGTTATTAAGACCAGCTGCCTGCAATTACTGCAGGGTTCGAATCTCGCCAAGGCTCAAGGTTGACTCAGCCTTCCATCCTTTCTAAGGTAGGTAAATTGAGGACCCGGTTGTGGGGGCAATAAGCTGACTTTGTATAAATATACAAAAGGATGAAGGCTATTGCTGAGCACATTGTAAGCCGCCCTGAGTCTTCGGAGAAGGGCGGCATATAAATCAAATTAAAAAAAAAATGTGTGGACTTCCAACTCCCAGAATTCCCCAAAATGCAAGCTGGCTGAGAAATTCTGGGAGTTGAGATCCCTGCATCTTGAAATTCCCAAGGTTGAGATGCTTGGCCTGCAGGCAGAATATGAATGGTCCAACAGTCAGAGTGAAATGCGATTGTCAAGCTTGTCATTCATCTGCAATCTGCAACCACATGCTGCAGAGTTAGTTTATGATTTAATACTGTGCACATTAGGAATCCATACAACTGAGCTAACACAATAAACTAGTTCAATTAACCATGGGTAACCATAGTCATTAAGACATTTACCTTTGTAATATGGTCCGTAAACCCTGCATATAACTGCTGATTGAACTCACAAAACATAGCAAACCTTAATGCGTTTTACTTTGATTTTCATATTTGGTGTTGTGTAAATAGACAGGATTTTGAGAGAACACCCAAGTACTCATGCATTGGTTATGATTTCCCATCATGTGAACTTCGGTAGGGTTCCTGGAATCATTGGATCTAAGTGAATTTTGAGGTGGCTGCAGCTACAGCAACTTTAGGCATTCTATTAAATATCTACTATTAAACATCTCTGCTAACAATCAATTCAGAGTTGGCACCCTTCTAGGCAGGAAAAAGAGAACAATATTGGGCTGTCTTATTCCATATCAGCATGCAGTTTCTGAGGGAATGCACAGTCCCTCCCCCCCCCAAACATCCTTCAGCCCTGCATTGTGATCCCTAGAAGTTGAAAATGACTTGGTGACATATAATGAATAGAATAGAATAGAATAGAATAGAATAGAATAGAATAGAATAGAATAGAATACAATACAATACAATACAATACAATACAATACAATACAATACAATACAATACACCTGTAGTACAGTGGACTAAGCACTGTTATTAACATCTGCTGCTTGCAATTACTGCATGTTCAAATCTCACCAGGCTCAAGGTTGACTCAGCCTTCCATCCTTTCAAAGGTAGGTGAAATGAGGACCCAGATTGTGGGGGCAATAAGCTGACTTTGTATAAATATACAAAAGTATGAAGGCTATTGCTTAACGCATTGTAAACCGCCCTGAATCTCCGGAGAAGGGCAGCATATAAATTAAAGCAAAAAAAAAAAAAAAATACAATACAATACAATACAATACAATACATCAGTTTTGATAATGACTGGCCAAAGCTTAAATAACTTTAATAAATGTAGATTAATTAGGAGTGTTCTACCCTTGTAGATTAAAACTAGATGCAGTAAATACATTTGCTGTCACAACCAACAGATCAATAGGAAGGGAAGGGAAGGAAGGAAGGATGTTGATATGTATATGTACTATCAATCTGGTTTGTATGTGTGTGTACACATGTCTATGTGTATGTTCTGTCTATCCGAAAGGTGCTTTTTTCCCAAGAGACAACTGGACTTTCTGGGTCTTTCTTTTCAAATTACCTCTTGAAAAAAGCACCTTTGGGACAACCATGACCTGGATGACTGAGAATCTCCATAGACATATGTTATGTCTATTTATCTCTCTGTGTATATATAGATATCTAGGATGTGTTTGTATATGATTTAGCTATTTGCTGGGTGCGTTTAAATCTCCATCCATCCAATATATGGTATGTGTATATGCGCGCCCACACACACACACCTGTGTTGCTACAGTTCTATTCAACTATGACAGAGAAACAAGTTGCGTTGAAGCTGAGGAGACTATCTCAGGCCAATGGGTATCAGTCAGAGCAAAACTTCCATCAGCAGACAGGACTACCGCACGTTCCAGCGGCATCTGCAATCCCCTCCGCAGGATTCCAGTCAGAGTTAAGCCCCGCCCCGTCAGCACAGCTGCCACGCCCCCCCCCCCCCCCCCCCCATCCCAGAGGAGCCTCTTCGGATCAGCCAGAGAGTGAGCTATGCTGGGGAGGGCGGGGCTGAGGGCTGCCTGCTGCCGAGCCCCGCCCCTTTCGGAGTCCTCGCGAGCGGCTGTTGGTGCTCGTCGCTCGCGCTCTCGTGGAGCTGCCCGCTGCGCTTCCGGCAAGACGAGCAAGATGGAGGCGGTGGGAGCTTGAGAGCGGCTCTCCTCGACCACTGGCCGCCATGGCGGAAGACGCTGAGTTGGAGAGGTGAGACTGGAAGGCGGCGGGAAGACGGAAGGGGCTAATATCCCCCCCCCCTTGCCATGCCCGCCGGCTGCGTGCCAAGCAGAGGGCGAGCTGGCACCTTTCTCTAACCTGGTGCGGGCCAGATGACTGGGAGGACAACTTCCATCATCCCCAACCAAGACAAGGGATTATATAGGAATTGTATCCCGGCTTCACGGGCACCAGATTAGCCTGGAGCGGTGGTTAGGCTCTGTTTTATTACTCAGGAACTGATCCTGCCTCACTGACTAAACGTCTAGTGGTGCTGGTCAAAGGCTTCCCAGAATTAAGGCTGCAGGTCATCAGGGAATTGCAACCAAGGACAGTTTTTGACCCGGGATATTTGCTGGAGGCCTTGAGAAGTTGCCTAGCTTTAACCCTGGGATCAAATTCCTGGTGTCCTTCCTCTCCAGTCCATAAAGAAATATTGGGTCCCAAGTGGGAGTGAAAGATTAAAATGGTGCTTTTTTTAAAAAAAAATGCTGTTCCTAAAATAAGAGGGGGGGATGGGATATGATGACATTTTTTATCTGATTGCAGAGTTCAGTCAGGAGGGTTCCTCTCAGTTTGCAATGACTAAATGATAAAACAGTTATTATTTATTATTTATTTATTTTGTCAAGCAATGTTAAGGAATTCGCAGAGTAACCCTTGAATAGCAAGGGTGTACACATGAAAGCGGTTGAGAGTAGATACGAATAAACACAGTCAACACACAGATACACTGAGTTGTGTTTACTTTCAGGAAATAGTAAGGCACAGTCCAATAAACAGTCCAGGTCATACACACATAAAGCAGGAGATAGCAAAACGACAGTCCAGGATAGTCTAATAACAAAGTCTTCTTACCAGTTGTCGTAGTCATTCACAATAAATAGTTCTTCTGGATTTGCAAACAATAGCATACAGAATATCAGAGAGCAAGAACAGCAAAAAGAAACAAATGATGTTTCTAGCTCCCTCTTCAGGAGAGAGCTAACCAGTCAGGACACAGTATGATGCAATACAGCAGTCTTAAAGCTATATTGATGGTTTATATATTGCCAACCCAACAAAGTAGGTAATACTCATTTCCTAACAAGCATATATAAGATAACAGACAAAAGTATAAACATGATTTATGAATACATGAAATGGATACAAATAAAAAGGGACATTTGGACAGGGACGGTAGGCACATTGGTGCGCTTATGCACACCATTTGCAGACCTTTTAGGAATAATTTATTTAGTTTATTTAATTATTGTTTATTTATTTTAATAAATAATTTATTTATTTATTTTAGTTAGTTTAGTTCAGAAAAGCCTAAACTGAATTATCCCAATTCTATTCCTTTAGCTATGCTGCAAATGTAGAGATGTTTATAGGAAATATATGGAGAATCAGGAATTGGGACAGCTATTTAATGTGTTTGCAGTTGATTATAAATGTGATTGGTTGATTAAGAAGATCAAGTACTAGGGGCTATTTTTTCTACTATTGGTGCTACAAGTCCAACACTGTTCAAGTTGCTGAATTGTAAACAATTAATATATCTAGTGCCAAAGAGGTTTTGGACTCACAAGATATAAGACAATCAGATTTTGCCAAAAGGGGAAAGCAAATCTATTATGTAAAAAGTTTGCAGCTTTAAATAGGAACATGCAAACAATGTTGGAAGAGATAGTTGACAGAGAACTTCAGATTGGGATCAAACAAGAAAAATTAAACAAGAAAAATTCCAAAATAATACACAAGACCATAAGATAGCATTTGCCATATAGTGAGACAAGAGTTCCAAATTAATTATTTGGATTAAATTATTATTTTATTGTACTTGTTTCTTAACTTGTGTTCGCCGCCCTGAGTCCTTCGGGAGAATGGCGGCATATAAATACATGTAATAAATAATAAATAAATAAATGTTGCCAATATCAGGCAATTATAAAGAAAATTTGTCATTCACGTAACATACTTTGTGGTGTACTTCAAAGATAACAGTCCCAAATTTTTAACTGGGATAGAAAAGAGAAAAAAAGACTTAATACCGTAGAAAACAATGCAGGACAGATTTTCTGTAGAGTAGTATTTACTTATTGCTATAGAAATAACATTTTAAACAGGGATCTTTCACTTCCTTTAACCTGATGATCCTTTTTTCTTGAGATTCTCTATGTCATGGTTGTCAACAGATGGATTCATAAATACTGACTTCCACTGCTTAGCATGACTTTGACCAACTGGAACTTGCACGTGTTTTACTAAGAGAAAAGATGGGGAATAGGGCACTTCCTTTGGTTGTGCTTATGTCACATGTAGCATCCCTTGCTAATGTAAGGTACAATATGAGTCAAAGGTGCCACATATTTACTTGTATGCTCCAAGTATAGGTAAAGCTTGGTTTTATTTAAAGCTTACTCTATCCATGCTGGGAACTGGGATCTAAAGAGCCAGCTTGCAAGCCAACATGCTGTTTTCTGTATCCCATCAACAATTAGTTACATGTGTTGGACTGATACACTCAAGATACAGTATTGGCAAGTAGTATAACTCCAGTGTGATCCATTTACAACTATAGAAGAGTTGACTAGGGAGGAAAGAATAAAGGAGCTGAATGTTAACATAGTCTGAAATGCTTCTTTGTTCTCAAAACCCTAATACTGTTTTGCAGACTACTTTAACTCTTAAAAGAGATAAATGGGTACACAAATGGCGGCATACACACTATCATAGTTCCCTTATAAAATATCTCTCTATTAAAACATGCAAGAAGGCATTTTTTCTCTTGAGATCAGAAGTTACGTCTTTTTTTTTTAAAGTTTTTTTGTTCCTGTGAAATTCTTGGAAGGCTGAAAAAATAGGTATAGTGGGTAAAGGGCTAACTAGAAGAGTGAGATTAAAGCCTCCACCATCACCTAGAACAATCTGGATTAAAATCAGTTTTCCACAATTAATTAGTATTAAGATCAGGATTAGAAAAAGAAAGCAAAAGATTCAGATGGCTGATAAATTAGGTAACAAATAAAATAAGGTGTATATGATGACTCCACCTTCCATATTACAGTGGTGGAGGAAAAATTGAGTAGGGGTTTTTCAAATGTGATAAAAGAAATTTGAACATATCTTTACATCCTTATATTTCCACCACAAAAACTCTGTGAGGGTGGTTTGGCCTGAGAAAGAATGATTAGTCCAAAGTTACCCAGCTAGTTTCTGTGCCTAAGGGAGGATTAAAGTTATAGGCTGCTTGTAGATTGGCACTTTAATCATATACCTAACTGGCTCTCTAGACCAGTGATGGCTAACCTTTTTGCTGTTGCGTGCCAAAAGCGAGGGGAGTACGGGGGGGGGGGTTGTGTGCAAGTGTGCCCACACCCATAATTGAATGCCCCCTGTGCCCCACCCCTCCACGCATGCGCACGCTACCCGTCCACACTCCCCCCGCTTTGACATGTGACGGCAAAAAAGTTACCAGTGGGCCAGGTAGACCTGTTTTTCGCCCTCCTGAGGTTCCAGAGGCTTTCTTGGAGCCTGTGGGGGGCAAAAACGGCCTCCCCACCCGAGGCCGTTTCCTGACTTTGGGCCCAAAAGGCCCGAAAATCAGCTGGCCGGTGTACATGTGCACGCTGCAGCTGAGCTAAGGCAATGCTTGCGTGCCCACAGATATGGCTCCGCGTGCCACAGGTTCGCCATCACGGCTCTAGACTATCTAGATAAATATCTTAAGTGTTCTGTCCAGTGACTCATGGGATTTAGAACATGAAAGATTATTATTTGCAATCTGAATTTCAACTATTATAGTTTGATTTTGATTCAGGGACTGCAGTTTGAGTGAATTGTAATAACCTGCATTACTGTTGGATGAAAGAAACCTATCCACATTCCAAAGGTATTGGAAGAGATATTAAATTAATATTTGTTCTTAATATTTAGGAAGGCAGTAGAAGAGCTATTGACAGAAGCTAAGCGTGGGAAAACTAGAGCAGAAACAATGGGGCCCATGGGCTGGTAAGTTCTTCAAACTAAATATAGTAATGTTATAAAATAATATATATATATATATATTTAAAAAATTCTAAACATTTCAATTTCAAATGTACCTTAATAAATAAGTCTCACTAGGACTAGAGTAAGAATGCATAGTGAGCATGGTCGTGTAAATTCTTCACCAGTGGATTAAAATATAATATTTCTTGTTGGTAAGTAGACACATAACTAAGAATTAGTTTCTTTTATGTGTAGTCTTTATTATTTGTTTGGAAATGATGTTGCTCATTGCCTATTATATTCAGTATCTAGCTGTATTTGTCTTAAACATTTGAACACATTTAAATAATAATAATAATAATAACAACAACAACAACAGTTCCTAGGTCCTTGGTTAGGACTCGAGCTGCTGAGCTATTAACCAGCCTCAAAGGCTGTGAATCTCACTAAAGATTAACTAATAATAATAATAATAATAATAATAATAATAATAATAATAATAATAATTTTATTTCTATACCGCCCTTCTCCCGAAGGACTCAGGGCGGTGTACAGCCTATTTAAAAACACAAGACAAAACATCGATTAAAAATTTAAAATAATTAAATAAATTTGGCTCAATTTAAAACCCCACAAATTTAAAATACCCCAATTTTAAATTATTATGTTGATAGCCCAAATATTTTCTGGTAAAATATTTCTCTAGAATGTTTCTATATTTCTGAAATGAAAACAGAGGTATATGAATGTCTACCTTGAGTGCTATATAGGAAGAAAAAGAAGGGAATATATCTAAATAATTCCATTCTTCCTGTTTCAAAAGAGGTCTCACTTGGCCACCCATCAGAAGCTCTTACATTTATAATGGAAGTAGATGATATTGGTGTTCTGGGGACTCCAGTAACTCTGTTACTCTTGGATGAGTTTATGGCATGTGATTGCATGTGTAGAAACAATTTTACTAAAACTTTATTGGGATCCTGCTAGCGCTTTCCTTCTTCAGTGTAAGTAATAGACTCATATCCAGTGAAAATTCCTTGTAGCTACTATGGGATTGATGAGCTGTAAAAACAGGTTTTACTGGATGCCCTAATTTTATCAGATCAAAATACTCTGGCAATTAATGCTACATTCTTGGAATCCTAAATTGCACCATAATAATCAGCAGGATATGATTGCCATTTTAGTACTTGAAAATAAATCACATGAAATTGTCATATTCCGTCAACTCACTATGGTTGCATAGTCAACAAGTAAGCAAATAGCTCACAAAGACATTTTTAAGATGGGGTTCCTCTTTCTGAACTCAAATAGCTGGAATACTTGTGATGTCCTTTATCAAGAAAGAAGAGTTTCAGTAAAAGAAGCCAGCAAGTCTATTTTTCCCCATCTATTGCCAGTTAATGTTTTTTGGCACCATGGGAAAATAGAGGATATTCCCTATCTGAAAATAGTAATTTTGTCTGATAATGGCCTGTTTGAGATTTTTAATAGTTGTGACATATTTGTCACTTGTTTCTGAAAGAATATTGGTTTGCAATTATTTTAATTTCAATTTTGGTAATTAATTTAGTAATGTCTAAGAATGAAAATAATTATGTACAAAATATTAGAAAAATAAGTGGTTTATAAGAATGTTTTGCTTTGTGTACTTAATTTACGAATCGAATAGCCGAAGTATGTCAGATTTAAATTCCTTATTTGAATATAGCTGAGGAAAAACTGTTAAATCTTTTACACTAAAGCACAAAGGTTTATGTCATAACAAATTTATTGTTGCAAATGCTTCTATTAGAATTTATTTTGTCGCATGAATGACTATAATTACATTTGTAACAGATGTGCAGATGTCACTAGATATTCTATATCTTTTAATGAAGAAATTTAGTCTTTGATTTGGGGGGGGGCAACCCTGTGATAAAATGCATGTGTCTTGACTGCTTCTTTCTGTACTTCAAGTCTACACTAGGTGGCATACAAGGAAAGCCAAAAAAAATTAGCTGTAGTACTCAGTTTGTATATTTATAATGTTTATTTTTTGTGTATTTTGGATATTATATTACTGCTTTTTGGTACTCTCGCAGGATGAAGTGCCCCCCTTGCCAGTACAAATAAAAGATTTCTTATTAATACAATTAAGAACACATTGCACTCACCAAAAGAGCAAGATCAAGAACAGAAACATCAAGAAGAAAATAACGAATCTGAGCCAAGTCAGAGCAGGGAAGAAACCAAACCAAAGAGACACAGACTGCATCCTTACAAACCTAGTTTTCGGTCTAGGAGAAGAGTCAGCTACTCTCCTCCCAGGCACAGGCACAAGTACAAGCACAGGAACCAGAACACAAAGGACAAGGATGAAAAGCAATCCAGCAAATAATGAAAAAACATCATGTCGATGAATATAATTAAACTATTAATTGTGGAGAAAATGTTCATTTAACTTTGGCTTGAAAGTATTGCTCAGTACAAATATCTGTTGTAACAGTTTGAAGTTGAGTCCTTATGTACCTAAAAAATGATTCTGTGTTTTTTTTTCTGTTACTATACCACCTCAAATTAAATTTTGATGATTGTGAAGACTTTTGTGCTCAGATATTTTGGAAATTATCTCTTAGACCACGTGTGGGGCAGCTGTCTATATTTCTTCACTGCCTAGAGAAGGGATTTCTTTGTTTGATGTTGATCAGAATCATAGAGAAGGAACCTCTCCCACTGACTCCAGTGCAGTAAGGAATGATCTTTTCCTGCTATATAGTACAATATGTAAATACACTTTGTAACTCTGTTCAGAAAAGTTATTAATACAATTTTAATTTATTTTTTGTTCTTAGATATGAATCTTGATAATTCTCTAGACCATCACTTTATTCAATTTGAATATATTTGCCGTAGTTTTAATTTGCAAAAAGATTTACATGGTATCTAAATATTATAAATTATTTAGCTTGAGTTAATTAAATAACAGAGCTCCATGTGGGGACATGGAACTCTGTGAAAAATATCTCTCTGTTCATTTCATAATAAAATGTATGTATAGATTTACTTTTCCCAACACCAAAGCGAATAAGTTCTCTTTTGACTCAGATGTCTGAATTCATAATTTTTTTCCTGATCGTAACATTAAAGTTTTAATGTTTTGAATTCATCTACTTAAAATGATGTGCATTTCAATGCTAATAAATGCAGCGAAGCATTTTTTTCTGTATTGAGAGATAATTAAAATTGTATCTCAGTTCTGTTTTTAAAATTCTGAATATGTAAATTGCAGGAGGATATTGAACATTGGCAATTGCAATTTCTACAGTTGAGTCAAACTCTGTGATTTTCTTATTATATAATTGATACTTTATTATATTTCAAGTGTTTTTCCTGAAAATAATGAAATTAGATAGTAACTGGTCAGTGACAATCATTCTTGAAATAAAAGTGAAAATATCCTCAGCTATCTGCAGGTACCATACTGGTTTCAGCATATATTTGTGTCTGTTCCATTTAAAATTCACATCCATTCAGCATAATAGTATAAATCCACTTTCAGTTTTACTGATAACACAGCTTGAATAGTAAATAACAGATAAACTCAAAATCTAATATTCTTTATTAGAGAAGATTTGAGAGTTGGAAAAAAAACCCTGATTGAGATATAAAATACAGGGTTGATGAAGTGAAAAGATAATTACAAACTGCTGACATTTGCCAGGCCTTTTAAGCTGCAATTCAGCATGGCTAAAAACAAGAGGATGGATTCTGTTTCTGGTGGAAACTGATAAAATAAGAATAAGAAAAGTATGTAGGAGAAACTAATCATTATGAAATACAGTAACTGATAGATCAGATGCTGATAGATTACAGAAAGAAGAGTAAGCATCAATCAAGATGCTAAAACCATTACAAATATTAATTTAATTAATCATATTTCTATGCCGCCCAACTCCCAAGGGACTCTGGGCGGCTTACAACAGAAATAATATAAACAGTGAACATAAAATTTTTTAAAAAAACATAAAAGCATTTTAAAAACATTAAAAACACATCCACACCATCCATGGCCGGATCTCGCAAGATTGAACAGTGAGATCAATGGCCCCAGGCCTGCCGGAAAAGCCAGGTCTTCACCGCTTTCCAGAAGGCCAATAGGGTGGGGGTAGTCCGGACCTCAGGAAGTAACTGGTTCCAGAGAGCTGGGGCAGCCACAAAGAAGGCCCTCCCCAGTGGGCCCGCCAGCCGGCATTGTTTAGCTGACCAACTCTGTGGGATCTTACCGGTCACTGGGAGCTATGCGGTAGAAGGTGGTCTCGAAGATAGCCTGGCCCTGAGCCATGTAGGGCTTTAAAGGTAATAACCAACACCTTGAATTGTGCCCGGAGACCAATAGGGAGCCAGTGCAGCTCGCGGAGAATTGGTGTAATGTATCTAGGTGCACCCACGATAGCTCGTGCAGCTGCATTCTGGACCAACTGTAGTCTTCGAACACTCTTCAAGGGTAGCCCCGTGTAGAGCACGTTGCAATAATCTAACCATGAGGTGACAAGGGCATGAGTGACTGTGAGGAGAGCCTCCCGATCCAAATAGGGTCGCAATTCGTGCACCAGGTGAACCTGTGAAAAGGTCCCCCTAGCCACAGCTGCTAGATGTTGCTCTAATCTTAGCTGTGAGTCTAGGACGACACCCAAATTGCGAACCCGTTCTGAGGGGGACAGTTTCTCCCCCCCCCCCCCAGAACCAGGGATGGACAATCAACATAGTCATAAACCACAAAGCCTGCTAGTATCAAATGTGTTGCACACTTGGTACTGCTGCCTATTGATAGATGTGCCAAGTAACCATTCTATGAATCAGCCAAGTGCCCAAGAATTGAAAGACCCCTTCCTCAATTGTCTTCTCAACTGAAATAATATTCCACAAGAAGTTTCATTAAAATATTCCGGTCAGAGCCCAATACTTTGAGGTTATAAAATAAAAGATAAAAAGTATTTTTGTATGTGGTGTGTAAAAGGGGCCTATTCCATCTTTTGCTATTTTATTTGCTGCTTTGGCACCTGCTAACATAAACCCTTTTCAAAAAATAGATAAAAATCATGTTCTGAAACTATTTCTTAATATCAGGGGATAGGTTTCTTTCAATTTACATACAATTACCTTCCTTGCCATGTCCCAGACTTGGAGGAGCCCAAGGTTTTCATGAAATGGCAGATTCTATGTTTTAGGAATATATTTCACCATGTTTATGATAATATTAACAAGTCATTTGAAATCAAAGCTATAATATCCAGCCTTTTAAAAAAAATCAAGTTTCTGATTAATGAATTTAATTGTTAAATTGAGGAAATACGTTTTAGCTTCTTAAACACTGGGCCCAATTATTTTCCAATTTTGTATATTCCATGTTACATAATTTTTATTCAACTTTTTAATTCTTTATAAAATTGGATTATTGATTTCAAATCAAGAGCTGCATTTCCTACATATCCTAATATTGCAGATATTTTCAAGGTTACCACAATATCCATGCCATACTGTTTCATCACTATATGTTTCAATTGTGTATATCTTCAGGTGGAATATTGTAAATATATCATATTCATAGTGCGATCTCTGAAAGTTTTCAAAACAGCCATTTTAAATCAACTGATATAAGGAACCAATACTTCCCTGCATCTCACAGGAATCAAAACAATGTTACAATTTAGGTAGAATTGCACTGAAAATGGAAAAGGCTATCAAAGATAAACTTAGCTTCATCAACTTGCCATTTATCTGTTCTCTCCACCCCTGTAAACCTATTTCACATTCTCCATAGATTTGTATTGCAGCAAATAGCAGGAAGGGAATGCAGAAGAATGGAGAGTCATCGAATATTAGTTCCTTTTTAATTTTCTATCCAGGAAGTCAAACTGCATCGTTGGACAGGTGGTTAAATTCACTGACTCTACAGAAGGGAATACAGCAGGCCTAGTGATATAGTGTTTAAGGAAACAGAGGGGGGTGCAGGGGGCGAGAGAGATGTGAGGAAACCCTGACAACCTCAGCTGCTTGCTAGCAGAAAGGCAAGTTAATCATGGCAACATTTTTTTTCTGTGGGAGACATGCAGCTGTCAAAGCAATAAGGTAAATGAGTCTTTGGGGCAGAACTCTATAAATAGGGAACTATAGAAGTTTCGTCCTGTTCCTTGGCAAAGCAGCGTTTGGGGGGCTGACTGGGTGGTCTTAAGTCCATTGCCACAGTGGCTATGAGGGTTGATACCAATCAAGGCCTCCGCAGCTGAGACCCCTGGTGACCCCCACTAGCGGCTTTTTTTTTTCCTCTTAGGCCCCCCGATTCACTCATTTGTGTTGTGGGGGCTGCTTTTGCTGCTCCTCTATTTATGGGATTACATAAATGAGCCATTAAAAATGTTAATCTTCAGAACAGTTGAAAAACAGTTGAATAAGGAAGATTTAAACAATCAAGCACGGGGCAGTACAGTACAAGAAACTGCTCCCTAACCAGCCGGGCGACGCCACTGTATTGTGGCTGTGGGGACAATGGAAGGTTAAGGGACAGGGTAAGAGAAGAACTGGGGAAAAACAAACTATCTCACCATTGTTGACTGTCACCAGCACCAAGGGGAAGATTAGGGTTTTGTGGGTTTTCGCCCTTTCTTCTCTTTTTAAAAGCACGTTAGAACAATAATGATGAGCTATTATAAGTGACAAAAGAAGAGCATCTCATCACCCTCCTCCCAGTGCAGGTGTCAATACAATCAAGCTTAAACACAGAGCTGAATTGGGGGGGGGGGAATAAGGATTATTCCATTTGCCCACAAAGGATTTTAACTCTTTAGTATCTCTTGCAAGCTATGAATCCCTATCCCCCAGAGATGCAAAAGAAGCAAAGCTATTTCAAGTCTACTCCTGTCTTCATCAACTCAGGAATTGTTGCTCTGGACTTGAGAAGTTGAGTTTTCCAGCTTTATACCTAGCCACCACACATGTTGCGTCAACGGATTTCAGTGGCATAGGCTTTCAGGAAAGGGAATGTAGACTTAGACCAAATCCATTGGGTTGACGTACTGCAGATGAATCAACCCAATCGATTGCGTTCACGGAATACTCTATGACTATGTCGTAAATGGTGGTCTGCAAATGATCGTGACTCGGTAAATTCATGTAACATGCCAAGCCAAGCTGAAACAAATCACATTAGAGCTTAATACTAAATGCAATAAATGAGATTTGGACCATGCTGATTGGTAAAGGAGTATGGAGATATATTCCTTTACATTTTATCAATTCTCAAATTCCATGTTATGATGTTTTAGAAATAATTTCTCTAGTTCAGGGGTGTCAAACTCGATTTCATTGAAGGCCGCATCAGGGTTGTGTTTGACCTTGGGGGGGGACCAGGGTGGGTGTGGCCCTCTGACAGTAAAAATGGAGCTCAGGGGGGCACGTGTGTCCACCCCAGGCCCTGTTTTTGGCCAGGACTGCCTCCTGCAACTCTCTGCCAGTGAAAACAGAGCTCAGGAGGACTCCTCCCGAGCTCTGTTTTTGCTGGCAGAAGTACCACAGGCCGGCCCTTCACTGTTTCCAGGGTGGCCCTGGAGCAGTGGTGGATTGCCCCCGGTTCAGACGGGTTTACAAGAACCAGTAGTAAAACCAGCGGGAGGCTCCGCCCACCGACCCCAACATCATCAGGAAGCTTCTGCGCATGTGAGCGCGCGTGTGTGGCCCCATTGCAAACTGGTAGTAAAGGTAAGTAGAACCCACCCCTGCCCCGAGGCCAGATCTAAGCACCCTGTGGGCCAGATCTGGCCTGTGGGCCTTGAGTTTGACACCAACGCTCTAGTTCTATAGCAGTGATAGCTAACCTTTTTACCATTGTGTGCCAAAAGTGGGGGGGGAGGCAGAAGGGGTCATGCACGTGTGTGCCCTCATCCATAAGTCTATGCGCCCCACCCCCCGTGCTCCCCCCGCTTTTGGCACATGATGGCACAGTGGGCCCGGTAGACCCGTTTTTCACTCTCCCCAGGCTCCAGAGCCCTTCTAGGAGCCTGGGGAGGGTGAAAACAGCCTTCCCCACCGCACCGGAGGCCCTCCGAAGGCTGGAAATGGCCCGATTGCCGACTGGTGGGCCCAGAAGCTGGAGCTGAGCTCGTGTGCCCACTGATATGGCTCTGTGTGCCACCTGTGGCACGCGTGCCATAGGTTCGCCATCACGGTTCTATAGCGTTTGAATGGTTTTACTCCATAATATGATTGTGCTAATTGTAGTCTTAATGGCCAGTAGAACATTCTACCTATTGAAACATCATTCACCACTTTCATTATCCTGAACAAAATAGACTCAAGCCAGTTATTATTTTAAATTTAGATGGTTTTATTTTATACAAACAAGCCATATTGTCCTCTTGGTGATATCCGTGCCATATTCTTCAGCAGAAAGCTTGATTGCATAGGAAATCAAATCTAATTGTTT